CACTATTGTATTCACCATTTATCTTCCATAGGTGACAAAAAAAAACACCCAACTGCGAAGTGAGCTGGCGAGCCGTCGCACCGGAAAACTTTGTCGCTGGTAAGCTTCTTTTTTTTACTTTTTTCGACCAACTTTTCTCGTATGAATGAGTACAAAATCGGCCGAAATCGGCCGAAGTTAACCAAAAATTGCCAGCCCGAAGCAAATCACCACCGCGGGCGGCGGTACTGTCACCGTGCCAGAATTCCAAAATTGGCCGAAAAAGATTTTTAATACTGATTTTAGATTTTTTGGGATATTTCTAGGTATTTGGAGCATGTTTTAATCTCCAAAAAAAAATTTAGGGAACCCGAGGACTGGTAGTAGGCGCGACTGAAAGTTTTGCGTTCAGACACCGATTTGGGTAAGAATCTCTCACCCTATTTCTTGTTATGAAATTGAAGTTTAATTATAAATAATGTGGTATTTTGTACAATTTAGAAAATCTCGATAATTAATCACCGGTTACTAATAGAGCCGGAATCGGTTATTATTCACTATTTATCTTTTTTTATTGATTTTACAATTTTAAATGCATAATAATACACTGGAGTTGGCATGATGATTTGTTGTGTTTTTTTTATGCATGTATTACTTTTTCTGCGTGATTTACAGTTAAATTGTGAAACTGTAAATTAAATGTAAACAGAGAATTGTTTGATTAAGTGATTAAATGAATAGTAGCCTTACTGGATATCCTGAGAGATGGTGGACGGACCGGATGCATAGAAAACTCTACCGTGAACATTGTCTCATATCGAACGGGGTATTGAGAATTAGTATTTTGTTGCTCATACCGGACAAGGTATGGGGACGACCCGTTTCACCCTCATACTGGATGGAATATTAAGGGATGATATTTTTAGTGCTCATACCGAACCAGGTATGGAGACGGCCCATTTCACTCTCATATCGGACGAGATATTTAGGGATGATAGTTTTGGTACTCATACCGAACGGGGTATGGGAACGGGTGGTTAGTTGATAATGTTGAATAAGGGTTCACGCGTAGTGGAGACATCTCTATGGACTCCCATGTATACTAGTAAGCAGATAAAAAGAAAAATTTTTATTCTTACTTAATTGGATATGATATTGTGATATTGTCGTGTTATTGCCTCTATAGGTCAGTTTTGAAAATCTCACTACGGTAAGTATATAATAAATAATTTTATTTATGATAAATGAATTTACCTAAATTAAGAGCTCCATTAGTTATTTTTATAATTTTTACCAACCTTCATTTCTATATCGGTGAGTAGTGTGACATTCTTACTGGGTTAGTGTAACTCACTCTTTTATTAACTATTTTATATCAACAGGACCAAGATCCAGATCTTGATCCATAAGAAGGTTGCGAATAGGATATTCAATTGTTTACTTTTCATTTATTTCTTTAATTTTTCGTTATTTTTTTAGAATGGTCATTCTTGCAGCCCTATTGGGTATTCAGAATTATTGTGTAAGAAATATAAACCATAATCTTATTATTTCGCTTACGTATTCAAATTTATAATTTATTTTCTTTTAAGTTCCGGACTGCTACATACGTTTCGGTAAGCATAATGTATATTTATTTCATTCACATATTTTAAAACATAAATTTTGTACTCTTATCTTGCGTGAGGATGCGAGCATACGTATCATTTGGAGCTAAATAATAAATAAAAGAAATTATATCTGTGAATTAATGTTGTTGAATGAAAAGGGTTTATTGGGTGTTATGAAGAAGAGTATGCGAGTTTGGTGCTTAGGGAACCCTACCGTTGATGTTACCATCAGCCGTACGTGGCTTGAAAATCCCATACCAGAAGGGTTTAGGAGTTTGTAACTGTCGTTCATATCGGACGGGGTATTGAGGCGGTTATTTGTTGTAGTGCTCATTACTGGACAGGGTATGAGGATGACCATTTGATTCCAAATAAAATACTCGTATCCACGTGTAGTGGGGATCCTTATGGACCCGCAACGACACCAGTAGGGAAAATTAAAATGATCGAGTACAAATGAACATGGTAAGAAATCAAACTTGGAAAAGATGTGAAGAGTCAAATGTTATATGTATATTGAAATGTATATTGTTATATTGTTATTTTGATTTTTATCTTAATGAATAACATTTGAGAAGTTGCAAGTTAGTCGAGAAAATACTAACGTTTTCAGTAAAACGATAATGAATGTACTAGCAATCGGATTTTATTAAAAATGAGTTTCATTGGTTGTTTTATATTTTCTACGACCGTTTAATTTTTCGTATCAGTGATAAGGTGTTGATATTTTTATTAAAATAGTGTAACTCACTTCTTTCTTATTAATTATTTCGGATCAGGATGAGTAAAACTCTGATCCTGAACAGTAAGATATCAATTAAAAGAATTGTCTCTTCCGCTTCGTCAGTTTTGAATAAAAGTTAACCATATTTATTTTTAATGTTTTTCCTCGTTTGAGTTTCAAAAGCATTCTCGTAACTCTTTTATACTTCAAATAGGAGTTTGGACTTTTACACATTCTCTTTTAAAAATATATTATAGATAAATTATTTACAGTACAAAATTGATTCATGCCAATGCAATACAAGACTATTTTCATTATATATTCGAGCAATCATATATATATTCGCATCTCTTTAATATTTACCCTAATGTAGTATATAAGAAAATTCAATCATGAATATTTTTTAGATGCAAACCATCAAAGGAAGGCATAGGGTGTGGTAAGGATTTGTTAGTGCGCGTAGTTTTTGTTTTCTGGTAGCCGTTGCTCGCCATTTCTTCGACCTTCTATTACTCCCT